GCACAATTTGAGCAGTAAGTGCCAAAATAAGAACATGAATGGCAGAGAAATGGCTAATTATGCATTGGAGTACTGCGAAGTGAGAAACTAAATGAGGAGGAAAACAGTTAAGGTTTATTTATACAACTCTTTTAACAATCTGAATAATTTTTTTAAAATACATCACAATATATATTCTGGTACATGCTACCTTCAAAAGTTATCTTGCTTTTTTCTGTAAATGGTGAGTACTGGTTCCTTTAAGTTTGCATACAGAGTGACAGCAAGTCTTTGCACTTCTTACAAAGCAAGGCCAGCTTCTTCATGGAACTCTCAAATCACAGACATAAATGACTGTGCTTTAAAAAACCCAGATTGCTCTTACTTCCACAAAAATTCTCACTAGGTAAAGATATTAACATAAGCACAATCAATAACAAATTAAAAGTCTGACGAAAAGACAGGATCATTTATTTCAGTATAGAAATGTTCATTACGAGCAACAATTTAATTTTGTAGCCATAACTCCCCAGCCCACAGCAATAGAATCTACCTTTTAAGCATCATTTGCTTTTACTGCCACATTTTAGGTTTTTATTTTTGCTTTATAACTTTTGTATTTTCACAAAAGCTTAGAAGAATCTGGAAAAGCTAAAAAGCTGTTACACACAAACATATTTAACTTGGAAAAATCCACAAATTATACTATGGTGCAGAAAAGCAGAGAAAGATTCCTATCTGACTATTATGAATAACACAGTTTTCATGTTAAAAACAGATTTCTGAAGTTTAAAGTAAAAGTTGTCATGACCAGTACAGAGCCACTGCTAGTTTAGAAGCAAATACAATTAAAGACACCTCTGGAAGCTGAACAAAAAATGCCACCAGGGGAAAAACATTAAGTATTTAGTACTAAAGACCAGAAGAATATGAACATCGAAATATTATTTTTGTTAGTACTGTTAATTTCAAGCTTAGTTTTCCTGCTTAAAAGACATTGTTTAACTTGTGTTTTGTCTATGTAAAGCAACTACCCAGAGCCTCTGAAGCACTTAACTTTGCATATTTTATGTTAACGAAAGAATTGAAGCTATAAATGCTACACATCCCCATTTTTATATCCCTAAGGATGCCAAAGAGTTATATTGTATACGTCTTTAACTCAACAAAGAAAGTAGAATCACAGAATAGTGTAGGTTGAAAGGGACCTTAAAGATCATCTAGTTCCAACTCCCCTGCCATGGACAGGGACATCTCCCACTAGATCAGGTTGCTCAAAGTCCCATCCAGCCTGGCCTTGGACACTTCACAGAATCACAGAATGCGTTGAGTTGGAAGTAACCTTTAAAGGTCATCTAGTCCAACCCCCTGCAGTGAGCAGGGATATCATAAACTTGATCAGGTTGCTCGGAGCCCTGTCCAACCTGACCTTGAATGTCTTCAGAGATGGGGCATCCACTACCTCTGGAAGCAACCTGTTCCAGTTTCACCATCCTGACTGTAAAAAATTCCTTCCTTATATCAGTCTAAATCTACCCTCTTTTAGTTCAAAACCATTACCTCCTATACTGTTGCAACAGGCCCAGCTAAAAAGATTGACCCCATCTTTTTTATAGGTTTTAAATACTGGAAGGCCTCATAAGGTCTCCCTTCAGCCTTCTCTTCTCCAGGCTGAATAGCTCCAGGTTTCTCAGCCTGTCCTCTCAGGGGAGGTACTTCCAATCCCCTGATCATCTTCATGGCCCTCCTCTGGACTTGCTCGTGACCTGCTGGCCATGCTCATTTTGATGCAGCCCAGGATACAATTGGCCTTATGAGCTGGTGAGCACACATTGCTGGCTCATGTCTAACTTTTCACCCACCAGTATCCCCAAGTTCTTCACTGCAGGGCTAATCTCTATCGCATCATACCCCAGTCTGTACTGATAACAAGGACTGTCCTGACCCAGGTGCAGGACCTTGCACTTGGCTTGCACATGGTTCACATGGGCCCACTTCTCCAGCTTATCCAGGTCCATCCAGATGACATCCCATCCCTCTGGCATATCTCCCACACCACTCAGCTTCCAGGGAGGGGCATCTACAACTTCTCTGGGCAACCTATTTCAGTGTCTCACCACACTCACAGTGAAGAACTTCCTTATTTAAATCTTTGGGTTTTAACCTTTTGTTCTGTTGAAACCCTTTGTCCCATAACATCTGGGCCTATTTGTTGAACCACAGGGGCAGTTCTAAAACTGGTGAAAATAAATTATTAATGAATGGAAGCACAGACCTGGCTCAAACTTGCCACATATTTTATCATTACCTAGATGAAGCAAGAGTGCACTGTCAGCAAGTTTCCGGAAGACACAAAAATGGGAGGGGTGGGTGACACACCAGAAGGCTCTGCTGCCATCCAGCATGACCTGGACAGGCTGGGGGGCTGGGGAGAGAAAAACCTAATGAAATTCAACAAGGGCAAGTGTAGGGTGCTGCACCTGGGGAGGAATAGCCCCATGTATCAGTATGGGTTAGGGGCTGACCTGTTGGAAAGCAGCCCTGTGGAAAGGGACCTGGGAGTCTAGTGGACAGCAGGATGACCATGAGCCAGCAATGTGCCCTCGTGGCCAAGAAGGCCAATGGCATCCTGGGCTGTATTAGAAGGGGAGTAGCTGGTAGGTCGAGAGAGGTCCTCCTGCCCCTCTACTCTGCCCTGGTGAGGCCACATCTGGAATATTGTGTCCAGTTCTGGGCCCCTCAGCTCCAGAGAGACAGGGAACTGCTTGAGAGAGTCCAGCGCAGAGCCACAGAGATGATGAAGGGAGTGGAACATCTCCCTTATGAGGAAAGACTGAAGGAGCTGGGTCTCTTTAGCTTGGAGAAGAGGAGGCTGAGGGGTGCCCTCCTTAACATTTACAAATAAGCAAAGTGTGAGTGTCAGGAAGGAAAGAGCCATTTGATTAATAAAGACTATTTCTGTTAGAATGCATTTTAATAGAACTATACATTCAAAAGAGGAAAAAATAAAAACAAGGTATAACTAAATCTAACAGGAACAAAAATTAAAGAGCATGCTAACTAATTAGAGCATTATGAACTGATTGTTAATTCTCCATAGCAAGTTTCCCTCACTTTAAATTTAATCTTAAAGGAGATCAGCTATCTAAGCATACATTTTCAACTTTTTTAGTAAAAACAAAATCATAAAATTAATGAGGCCGAACAACAAAATTGACACTAGATCACCAAGGTGGATTCTCACAGCGTATGTTTAAAATGAAAGCAAAACTAACAAAACAAGAACCTTACCAAAAGTGCAGAAGTTTTTATATGGTATTTCCTCTGTTTTCGTAAAGGAACTAATTTATAGCTGTTGAAAAGCTATATGTGACAACCACAAAGACAGAGAAAATTCAAAGGTCTCAAGAAGAGCTAAACAGAATTTGACTGATCTGTGATCAAACCTTGTGGACGAAGGAAATTGTCTTGTGCACGCTTGATAATTTGTACAAAATACTGTTTTTCTCGGACACAGAGTCAGTTTTTCCCAATTGATGCCTAAAACACATCAGAAGAAAGGAAAAGTGTACATTCTGAAAGCCTGCTTATGCCAGAGTGATACTGTTCTTAACTGTGCTTTTTAGATCCAAGTATCTTCATTGCACCAGTGGAGATAAAAAGGACATTACACTGAAAAAAGTCTCTGCAAAGGAAGGTGCCTGCAGCTTGCACAGGTAAGCTTAAAACTACTAATTCTTTCTTCTACCTGATAAAATTTGGGCACTAACACAAAAAAGATCATTTGACTTTTAAATGACTGAATTCAACAATGATTTTTAAAATATAACTTATTGTACTAAAAGACTTTAATACATTTTGGTTCAACAATCCATACGGGACCTAGTGTACCCTAAAATGCAACAGCTATAAAAGTTAGTTTAATTTATAAGTTGTCAAATGTGGCATACAGAATAATTTTTAAAAATGTTTTTACAACTTTTTGCCATCTGATAAACATGGTATCTGGGCTTTTTATCATAGCCACACAGAATCCTCTTTGGCATCTGAGTTCATTTTTTTACAGCTGTTTAAAAGAGAAATTATCAGTCTGTAAGTTTTAAATACGTTAAATTTTTCCATATGCTTTTGTATAGAACAGAAGCTAACTAGGATACACTTCACTAAATAGTATACATACAACAATAAAGCCTTACTTCACTACAGATTAATAAGCTGAAATGCCCGTTTTGATATGCAGTCACTGTATAGAGCTTTGAATTCTTATTTTCAGTCTGGAAATTGAGAAAATACTGGAAACTGAACTTTGAAAAAAAAAAAGTATTGCAGTTTTCAACAACCATTTCACGTGTTTAAGAATACAGACTGAATTGTTTATGCAAAATGTACAAAAAGTATTGCAGTTTTCAACAACCATTTCACATGTTTAAGAATATAGACTGAATTGTTTATGCAAAATGTACCCCTAAGACTAGAGTTCTGAACAAAGTAACATTAGACATAGACACCAGCACAAAACAAATTAATATAGCCAGATTCCTTCACCATGCACAGTTTCTTTTGTACTTAAATGGATGGACAGGATTCTCCTCTGCATTTTTGCAATTAAACTAATACTTTGCACTTATTTTCTTTATTTAACTTAAAATAGTCTAAAAGTGGTTTACAGATGTTACGGAAGACTGAGAAATAAATGAAGACCAAACAAGTTATTGTCAGACTGTAACCTCAACCTTCTGTTTCCTGATTTATTTTATTAGATTCTATGCATGCAAAATCTTTGGGGTTGTACATCAGCCAACTTTTCATCATAAAATCTCAGTGGAAGAGGACACCCAAACAGTAAACTCATGCAAACTTAGTCCCAGAGGACAAACAGCAGTCAGTAACGCTGAAGAGAAGGGGAGGAAAGGGCACAGTTAGATCAAAGAATAAGAGAGATGTTAGAAGCACGCCACAGAAGAATAATTCTTTTAATTTTTTTTCAGCTCTGACCATTCATTCAAGTAATACCAGCATAAATGAGAAATTCAACATGTCTTCTTCAGCCATCATTAGCTACTACTGTAGCCCTGCCAGTCATCTACTCTTTCTTATTTCCTGCTGGAAGTTTCGGAAATATTCTCACTGCCTGGATATTTTCAAGGCAAGTGCCCACCAAAAGAACGCAGTACATTTACTCAGCAAATCTTGTTGCTGCAAATCTACTTGTGTGCAGCACAATGCCTTTTCTGGCTGCCTATTTTGCAAGAGGGTACCAATGGACTTACGACTCTGGAGCATGCAGAATAGCAAATCACCTTGGGACTCTCATTATACATGTCAGCATGTATGCTACAATTATAATTTTATGTTCAACTGCTCTAAGTCAGTATGCAACACTGAGGAAAAACAGCGACACACAATACTCTCAAGCAGCTAATGAAACCTTTTACAGATGCGTACTTGAAAAGTTTTGTCAGTCAAAATTTGCTAAATATTTCTGCATCATCATATGGCTTACTGTGTTCTGCATAACGGTATTAGCTATAGCATATAATGTCCAGGTAGAGTCTACAGAAGAATTTCAGAGATGCTACAGTGTCAGAGTAGAAATTGGTGACTTTAGCACAATGATTGCAGCTTGTTTTGCCACTGCATGTTTTTTTGTATCCTTTATAACAGTTTTGTTGGCATACTATTCTCTTACCAGGCATCTGAGTAAAATACAAAAAAATACCTGCATTGAAAAAAGACATCTAATTTACAGCACAGTGAAAAGAAACATTCTTGTCATCCAGATGATATTAACGATCTGCTTTCTTCCATATCATATTTTTAGGCCAATTTTTTATGTACTGCGTACAAGTAACGACTGCCCACAGTTAAACTACCTAGTGGAGATTAAAAATTTCCTTACTTGTCTTGCTGCTGCTAAGAGTAGTTTAGATCCTGTTATAAATGTTTTATCTCACAGACGGGTTAAGAAAAGTCTGTATGGCCTGTTTACAAAATCTACACCAGAACATGACAAACGTAAAGCTGATATTTTCACTCAAGAGACTCTTGAAATGTGAAGGAATGTGGAAAGATTTTAGTAGAATGTAAGTAATAGTAAACTCATTTTAACTACCTATAAGTAGCCTGTAATATGAAATAGTAGATATTTAAATAAAATATTACTTGTATTTTTTTTTAAACTATCTTGCTGGCTACATCAACATTAGCCATAATAAATACCATGCATGTATCCAAATGAATCCAAATAATTTACACAGTGAATCATGTATTTATCCACGCAATGCACAACACATTTTGTTTGACCTATGAACAGTGTCTTCTACCTGAATAATCAAGGAAGAAGGCAGAAACCAGGCTGAAGTTGAGGACCCAGTTGTCTTTTACCATCAATAGAAGAGTCTCGAGTTATGGATATGGGTTTGCATTATAAAAAAGGGCTGAACAAAGCTACTTCAAAGGTGGATTAATACGTTCTGCTCCAGAAGACACCTTTTTCACAACTTTTAAAACCCAGAACATTTATACAAGAGTGCATAAAGCACAAAGTATCTACTGAATTGCAACATACCTTTCCAATAACATATTTGACAGCAACCTCAGGAAGTTTGCCAATGACACCGATCTGTGTGGTGCAGCTGACACACTGCAAGGAAGGGATGCCATCCAGAGTGATCTGGACAAGCTGGAAAGGTGGGCCCAGGCCAACCTCATCAAGTTCAACAAGGCCAAGCACAAGGTCCTGCACCCAGGTCACGACAATCCCAAGCACAAATACAGGCTGGGTGATAAGTGGATTGAGAGCAGCCCCGCAGAGAAGGACTTGACGGTGTTGGTGGATGAAGAACTGAACACGAGCCAGCAATGTGTGTTCACAGCCCAGAAATACAATTGTGTCCTGGGCTGCATGAAAAGAAGCATGGCCAGCGGGTTGAGGGAGATGTTTCTCCCTCTCTGCTCTACTCTCACGAGACCCTAGCTGTAGTTCTGTGTTCAGCTCAACAGAAGAAGGATATGTTGAAGCAGGTGATGATCAGGGGGCTGGAGCACCTCTCCTGTGAGGACAGGCTGAGGGAGTTGGGGTTGTTCAGCCTGGAGAGGAGGAGGCTCTGGGGAAACCTTATAGCAGGCTCCCGGTACTCAAAAGGGGCCTGGCGAGGGACTATTTACAAGGGTGTGTAGCAACAGGATGAGGGTTAACCGTTTCAAACTGAAATAGGGTAGATTTAGATTAGATATTAGGAAGAAACTCTTTTCCGTGAGGGTGGCAAGACGCTGGAACAGGTTGCCCAGAGAAGCTGTGGAACCCCCCTGCCTGTAAGTGTTCAAGACCAGGCTGGATGGGGCTTCAAGAACAGCCTGGACTAAAAGGAGGTGTCCCTGCCCACGGCAGAGGGGTTGAAACTAGATGATTTTTAAGGTCCCTTCCAACTCAAACCACTCTATGATCTGAACATACAATAATATTCAGTGAAGAAATAAAGGATAAAATGCATACATGCAGCTATGTCCAAGCTCTAGTACTCCTTATGTTTAAAAATAACTCCAACAAGATAAATCACTGGAATTTCCACGCTTCTAGTCTAATCTTCTGAAGTAAATTGTATGGTTTAATTTGGAAGACGTAAAAGCTTCTTATTTGCTGGTATACAAGATATATTCAGTGATAAACATTTAATGATCCTCAACAGTGAGTAGTGCAAAACAGGTGTTTTGTTTTGGTTGGGTTTTTTTTTAATTGTAGAAGTTAGGACATAGTGATGATGTATGTAGAGTTTTCAATTATTTAGAGTAATTTCTGTAGAAGTCACTTGAGATTACCTAATGGTCTTCCCCCTTGTACAATCTTCTCTGCAACTGAGATCAAGAGAAGTTTATTAGTGTGAAAAATGTTAGAAAATACTAGGTATTCTATGAAATCCTATCACTGATCCAAAACTTCCCAATAATAAGCAGTGAGCAATTCTATCTTCCCAACCCTACTACTGAGTTCCATGACAGCAGACACAAAATATTAGGTCTTCTCTAGAAGGGACCCCAAGACTTCACATCACCTGACAGCTGCTTTGTGTTCTGCAGAAGTTAAACAAGGTAAAAAAGACAAAAAAATCACAACAATGTAGTTTTCTAATGAACGCAATGCTACTTGCGATAATTGCTTCTTTCACAGGATTCCCATGTGATGTTTAGCATACAACTTAGAGAAAAACCTGACATAGGCAGCTTCAGGGTTTAATCCTACAAAGTGTTGTTGCTCTGCAAACACAGGCCTTGAGCACGGGAAGCTGGTTTGTGCAGGTCGGTATCTGGCTGAGCGTAACAACCAATGGCAAAGTCCCTACAAGCAGGACTGAAGTGAGCAGTTTATATCCTCCAGACTGTCCAGTGCTGCTAAGATGAGTGGGTGAGTAAAACTGTTCATTACGATGTATTCTTTTGCACAGGCCCAGACTGAGAATCCACTAATTCAGCTCATATGCTAAACTTCCTGCACTACTTAGACATCCTGATGCCAAAAGAGAAGTTAACAGGTGACTTGTGTAATAAATAAAATAATTCACTTCCTTATAAGGGAACACAAAATCCTAGGGCAAATACGCTTCTCAGTAAAACTGCCTCTGGATACCCAGCAGCCAGCTAACAGTATGTTGAGAAAAGGGCAGGACAAAACAAGAATAGAATGGGGACTCTGAGGCAGTAAGCATATGTACAAGAGCGCGGCAGCAAAAGTACTGCCTGAAGAAACACTGAAGAAAAAGTACTGAAAGTTTTATTCTTGGAGCCTCTTAACTTCTGCATTTCTGGGGGATCCATGCGAGCCGACGAACAGCACACCAATATGATGTTGTGTAACGCCAAGTTTATTCCACTCAGAAGGCTACTTTTATAGTACAATTAGTTCCTTACATGCGTACAGCACGAGTTAAGTGTTACATGATTGGTCGTATACCCTGTCCATGCACTGGTTACATGCTACTGTCCAGGTGGCGAGCACGCACCTAACTAGTCACTGTGATAGGCTCTTGTGCACAGCGTCAAATCTCCTGATTCTCCTGGCTTACTTTCTTATCTGAGATGCTCCTAAAAGCTGCATTGTCTTCAGTAGTTTCATAATTATCTGTCTCAGCACTTTCTGTCGATCATTGACCTTTACTCTTTCACCAAGTTTCTATGTAGTAGGCCCCAACATGCATTGAATGAGAAAATGCTCCTCAGAAGATCACTGTCTCATAGGACACCTTAATTCTACCTCTGCTATTGATTCTACTGCCTTTATAACCTTTGAATAATTGAATATGTAACAAATTACCTCAGTGCCAGGAAAGGTGATGGAACA